TGTGGTTAGGCAGCTTTGTAATCGCACATGTCATGCATCTGGACATAAACGAAGCCCCAGTAATGGTGTTACCTCTGCAAAGAGAAGCCAGGGACTGAGGGAGGAGGAGACTCTCTTTTCCTGTTTACTCTCTTGTGCTGTGTCAATTTTCGCCATGGGCATGACTTGTTTTTATTAAAAGAAAATTAAATCCTTGTGGACCCTCCTAAGCAAGACTGACCAGAAGTCCTGTGTGGTCGTGGCCTCGCATTCTCCTCTCCCCTGGGTTTGTCAAAGCCCCCCCTCCGGGACTCAGCAGTCTGGAAAACTCTGCAGTTTCTAGTCACCATGGCAGCCGTTGCTCCTGGTGACCACGAGATGCAGGCCTGGCCTTCCCAGCACCGTGTGCAGCATCCCCACACCAACCCAGGTCCTGCATGCTAAGATGTCCCCAATGGTGCCAGTGCATGGGTGACTTGCCGCGGGCTTCTTCCAGGAAACAGCGTGTTCAGCACTCTGCGCTGCGTGCCACACACTCACTAAACACAAATGTCTGTACCTGGAAACATCACCCTCCCACCTTGCAGTGCAAGTCCCCATTCTCCTCCCCTCTGGGATAATCTGGCCCTGCCTCCACTGGTCTCTAAACACGGGGTGCTGCATAGAACTTGGCTTCCGGGCAGGTCGTTCCCACACCAGAGCCCCCTCCAGGCCCACTCAACTTCCTCTCCCCGACCAGAAACAGAAAGAATTGTTTATTTCTCCTTAACGGCCTGGAGAACCCTTACTGACCGTGGGAAGAAGATCGGATTACCCGCAAAGGGGTGGGGCTCCAGATAGCTCTGTTTTTTCCCAGTGAATGAACAAAAGCAATGAATGACATAAATTAATTTCCCGATGACTTATTGCTAGACATTAAATTTTCAATAAGTTCTTCTCCTTCAATTCAGATATGTTCTGATAGAGTAAAAGTAAAGGGTGGTGAAAACTAGAGGAGAAAACTAAAACAGCTCTCCTGGGGAGAAGTGGGCTGGAGAAGGGAACATTTGTGGTGGTACCTGAAGGTTGAGTAGGAGTTCACCAGGCAGAGAAACGAGGAGAGCTATCAAATGCTTGGCGCCTGACTCTGTCCAGAGATTTCCCAAACTGTACTAAACTGCCATGGCCGCAGCCGCCTACGTCTCCAGGCTTTAAAGAGCAGGTTCAGGTGAACTCAGAGCCTGGAGAAAGGTGATGCCTTGTCAGCTGGCTCAGACATGTTTGGTCAAGATGGGGCCTGTAATGTGCCAGTGTGGACCGAAGCTCCAGATGCTTCTCTTGTGGAACCAATGCTCTGGGAACTTCTGGGACTGCAGCCCTAAAGTGAGGCCTTTGGTTCCTATAGGTGCAAATGATGTGGAATTAGAGGAAGGAAAGGGAAGGGAAGGGAAGGAAGGGAAAGGAAAGAAAAGAATGCAAGGCAAGTTAGGGTAAGGAAGTCAAAGGCAAGGCAAGTGTGCTTCAGTGAGGATTTCAGGCCACGACTCACGGTGGGAAGCAGAGACAGATGCTCATCCGGCCAGGGTGCTGACTCACCCCCGCTGCTAGGCAGTGCTCACCAGAGAAACAGAACCAATAAGATAGATATTTATACACACACACACACACACACACATTTATATATATGTATGTAAATAAGATACATACATGTGTGTATGTGTGTGTGTGTGTATCTTGAGATTTATTAGGAAGAATCAGCTCACATAATCATGAAGGTTAAGAAGTCCCTGACCTGCCATCTGCAAGCTGGACACCCAGGAAAGCTGGTGTGTAGTTCAGTTCAAATCTGAAGGCCTGAGAACCAGGGGAGTCCATGGTGTCGGTCTCAGTCTGAGGACAGGAGAACACTGGTGTTCCAGCTAAAGAGGCAGGAAAAAGGAGTGACTTCTTCCTTCTTCCCTTCATCTTTTGTTCTGCTCAGGTCCTCAAGGGATTTACTGGTGCCCACCCACATTGGGGAGGGCCATCTGCTTTACCAAGTCCACTGATTCAAATGCTAGTCCCACTGGGAAACACTTTTACAGACACTCAGAAATAATGTTTAGCCAAATATCTGGGCACCCATGACCCAGTCAAGTTAACACATAAAATTAACCATCACATCAAGCCTCACAGTGGAGCATGTACATTAAACTTCAGTTTCTCAAACTGTCTGCGGTGAAGGAGCTCACCCCCATCCACTGTGTAGGGATACTTGTGTAAAATACAACAACAATGAATCACTGAAAAACTGACCCACAAAACAAAGACGTACAAAATAGGAACCTCAATTTTTTATCATTAGATTCAATTACCCTGTTAAATTACAATAAAAATTTCTAACATTCTCAATTTCTATGCTTATCTTGTCGCAGATGGTAATAAAAATGTGTGAACAGGCACTGATCCACATATCACACTTTGAGTTGCCTGACATAGGTTAGGTCAACCGTATTCTCTGGTTGCCAGTGATTATTTCTGGGGTGTTCTTATGACCTAAGCTAGTCCCATACAGCTAAATGTTGGGAATTCAGTTGGGAATCCTGGGATAATTATTTGCTTACAAGGATATCTATCCAAGGAATGCCATTTTAAAAGAGAAAAGCTGTTCTTTGACCATCTTATCAAAGAATCATTAATTCGTATCAGAAAACTGAGGATGGCAGACACTCAGGGTGCTTTGGTAAGGAGCAGGATGTGTCTGAGCAGTTATGACCACAGTATCTGATTTGGTCCAGAGATCAGTTGCAGATGCTTGGCAATTGCAAACACTGGGGGTAGGGAAACTCCGCCTCTGCATTTGTGTGGCTCTTGCACTCTATAGGATTTAATGCTAAAACCACATTATGAGATCAAGGGCAGAGCCCCCAACTTACAGATGTTTGTATCTCCTGGTTTCCAGAAGTAAATATTTATTATATGAAAACTTGACTGAGGATGCATATTGAAGAGAGGAGGAAGTGGCACCTCCTGGCAGATTTTATCCTCGAGGCAGGTTACCTGCTCCCACTCAACTGAAAGGAGATCCTGCCAGGCTTGAAGGCTGTCTTGCCCCTTCGAAGGAGACCAAGTCACAGTGTTGGCCAATAAAAGGCTGCACAGTTTAGGAAAGACTTGAGAAGTTAGCAGAGTTCAGAGGACAGCTGTCATGGTGATAAAGAGTTTAGGAAAGAAGGCGTAGGAAAAGGGGTGGGGAGCATATTGGGATTATTTAAACCTGACAAGAAGAGCCTGAATAAAGTATGACAGGTAGTTGGTATTCGGACATTCGCAGGGGTGATTATATAGAGCAGATCTTTTTGAGCTTTCTTTTTTGGTACCAAGGCATCCTCAGGAAAAGATCACATGTACATGGCTTGTAGGAAGATCAGGTGAGGCCGCTCAACACTAGATTCTGCCTTGAGAATCTTAAGGCTTTGACACTCCTAGGTCCCACCTTGCCACGAAGGGGTGAAGGAGTCAATAGCTTAGTACACTGTGACCTGTGCCTTGCTTGGGGAGTCACATACATGCGATGAAATTGATGTCGAGGGCTGGGATTATCTGTATTTTAGGTAGGGTTAGAAAAAGTGTGGAGGACAGCATGAATGAAAGGTTGACATAAAGGAGGAAGTGATTGATTCCCGGATTTGAAAACACTGGATTGACTTGTCAAAGGATGGGTGTGTGTAAGGAACATGTCCCAAAAGTCTTTGGACAGTTTAAGCTTCACTAATTTCGGAAAAATAAGTACTATAAATTTACCCCCAAGATTGGTTGAAATTTAAATTATATACATTTACTTTATACTAATTTTATTTTTGTGGATTATTACTTTTAATTATTTGAGTCTCAGATGTGAGAGCGATCTGGCTGTGACATCTGTCACCCCGTTGATCACCAGGGTTAATTATCTGAGTCAGCCCCTCTGATTGAAAACAGTAAAGGTTGACTTTAAAACAAAAAAATTATTATTCAACGTTTGTAAAACTAAACAAGTGTGAAAGAACTTTAGGTTTTATATCCGGGTTAGTGTAAGGCAAAAGCACTCTGTAGATAACAAGGATTGGAGGACATGTGTGATCCTGAGAGCGTAACTGTCTGGTTCAAGCAGAACTTCCAGGCGGTATTTCCGACTTCCAAGGTCCAGGTCAAGCGCTCCACACAGTAACAGGAGATGCAGGCAATATCTGGATTACAAAGAAACAAAGAAAACGTTTCACTGAGGCAAATATATGATATGAAGAAGGGGTGGAGTTGGAAAATGGGATGGCAGGGGAGGGCAGAGGGACCCAGAAGGCCCAGGAGGGGGAGAGGGATATGCTGGGCTGGTGGGGAAGGGGCTGTGCCACACCCTCTTCCTATTGTCCCCTCCCCCACCCTCAGAACCCCTTTGTGACTCCCCTGGGCTCTGTGATGCGGCCCTGGGAGTATCACACTCGGTTGCTTCAGGCAGCCCTGCGGTTCAGACAGTGGAGAAGCTTCTCTGTTTTCTGAACAGCCGTCCTGAGCCATGGCTGAGCTTTGGCTCAACTGTTTTGGATTCGGAACCCCAATTTACCTTTCTGAGTGGCTTGGGGTTACTCTTTCTGTACCTGAATTACCTGGTGATGAAATCATTTTGGCCAACCACCTGGGAAAATAAAGAAACCCAAAAGGTAAGGAACATCTAAGGGAGATTCTTTGTTGTTGGTTCCCATTCCTAGTCCCGCATTGCTAAAGCTGTTTGGTCGGCTTGGAGAGTGACAGGACATCACCCTTGTAGGGGCAGAGGTTGGCCAGGGCTGGGACTCAGGAGGACTAAAGTTTCCACCTGAGGCTCATAGGCTACCTATCTGGGTGTGGTGGAGGGTTCAGGATAAAACCCCAAACACAGTGATTTCGTGGTCCTGGCTTGGCACATTTAGAAAGCGTGGGTTCTCTGAAGGAGAACAGGCTCTCCTGACGCTTGATCTCGAGTCACGTTCCCATGTCAGGTGTCACTTGACCAAGCCTTCCTTCACGTGGGGCTGATCAGGAGAGCAATGCCGAGAGCCTCTGAGCTCTGTTCCCGGGATGCGGGGTCCTCTGAGCAAGCAGATGTGACGGTTAGCTTCCGATTCTGTGTCCTCCTCCAGCACAGGACTTCTGAGAACATCAAGTGGCAAAATCCTGCTTTGAGTTTTTCAAAGAAGGAAAAATTGGAAATGTTTTATCACTTTTAAAAATTGATAAAAGGAACAAATTTGTATTCATTAAAATGGAGAGTCACGTTATTCGTGGATAATGAATGTCTGAGCTTCCTAGAGAAGAAGAGTGGGAAAAGTGAGTCCTGGGCTCTTACTCTTTTCCTTTTATCGTCAGCATCAGAGCCGAGCCAAGAGGAGAAGGAGAGGTGGAACACTGAAATGTAGGGTTCTGCCTGTGTGCCCTCAGCTCTCCAAGGGTGGGCTTTCCTGTTTCTTCTAGGAGGTCCCAGGTCCACAATCTCTGAGAATGTCAGTTGCTAGATACAGTCTCTCTGGGAAAACAGAGCCCCCAGAGGAGGCTCATGGGGAGGCAATGAGATCTGAGACACTTCTCAGAGTCCCTGCTCTGCCCATCCATGGGCATGAAGCAGGGATGGCCCTGTGCAATGGGTGTGGCCATGTGAGAGGTTGGGGAGGACCACTGATTGGTTTGCAGTCAGAACTTCCGTCTCTTCACTTTTTAAAGTTCTTCGACTTCCTGCGTGCTCAGAGTCCTCTTTTTCTTTAAACACTGATGTCTGTGCTTCATGTGGTGGTTTTGAGCATCATGTGGGATGATGTATACATAAATGAACCTTGTTAATGTTATTGTTGACCATTTGCCCTTGTCTGCTGATTTTCGGGGCTATCACAGTTTAATATCCCAAGGGTCTCCCATAACGGGACTCCTGTGTGATCCTTATGCTTCTACCTTCCTTACATGTAACCTCGTCTCCTGATTTCCCAGGTCAGAGAATTTGCCAGAGAGAAGCAGAGGAGGAAAGGAAACCGATTTCTATTCTGATAAGGTGAGTAATCTTTCCCCTTCTTTCCTGGTCCCTTTTGAAAGCATGTTCTATGCATTTCAGGGATTCAGTGCACCCTGCCGTAGTCATGGGAGGGGGTAGCCATGGGAACAGGGATGTGAATGAAGGCCCTGGGCAGAGGCTATAGAGGGTATTGTGAAGTCATGGCTAGGAGGCAAGGTGAGGGGGTGGCAGGCTTCAGGTGGCCCCACCCCTGCCAGGCTAGTAGGCCCCCATTTCCTTGTCTGGTCCTGGCTGGAGCTCTGTACCTCCTGTCTTTGCAGCCCCTGGAGCGAGGATCACGATACCATGAGCTCTCATCAGCTGTTATGTCCAGACGCGCTCTGTGACATATGTAACAGCGCAACTGCTGATTCGTGACAGTGCTGTTCCGGCAGTTCCTGGAAGATGCTGCTACCTCCGTGTGGCTTTTAGCTTCTACAGTTTCTGGAACAGAATCATCCCACACTTTGTCCTCCACCCTTTCAGCAAGCCCTCCGGGAGATCTAATACCCTCTGCCAGAGCCTTCTCCACCGCCTGCCTCCATCCTCTCCACCGCCTGCCTCCATCCTCTCACCTGACCTGAAGACCCCATCACTTGACTTACTTTCACCCTCACCACTGGGTGACTCTGTGCCCCCAAAGCCCGTTCCTCCCTTGGCTTCCAAATTCTCAGTGCACCATTCCCCACCCCAGCTGCTTGCCTTTTCCCCCCTCTCCTACCATATCACACTCGGGGGGCAGATCCTGTTCTCCAGCCAGAGGCCACTTCGTCTATAAAGATCATCTTTGCATTTGACCCCATCCTTTTCCAGGATATCGACCCCTTGCCAAATTTATCCCAGGCAGTAGATCCTACTGATTCCCATGCTTGTCATCACACACTGCCAACCCCGGCTTCACTACCACTAGATGGCATTTTAACTGTGACTTAACCTAAATCAATTTCCGTTTTTTGAAGCCTGTCCTGGAGATGTCCTCTCTAGATAGAGGTGATGAATTGTCCACTTATGTCCCAACAATCAGAGGCATTGACCCTTCAAGCCTTGCAATTTCAGAATTCTCCTAGTGGCAGCCTTCTGCCAAGGACTTGTTCCCCTCCAACTTGGCACCACGTGATTTCAAGCAAGAGCTGCTTGCCCCCCACCTTTCTGAGGCCTCTTTTGCAGGAGACTCTACAGCCAACCTTACAGAACTTGGTAACCTCTGTTTTTTCAACCCTGATGCTCTGGCACTCTTGGAGAGACAAGTTAAAAAGAGGAGCAATTTCCTGATGCGGAAGGAAAAGGAAAAGAAAATGGGATCGTTTCCAAAGCAACTGAAGTCAGACTACCAACTAAGTTGTTCAGCAAAAAGGTTAGCATCAGTTGCCAATAAGCCTGACTTGGTAGTTTCGTTTCCTTCTTGGACCATCAAAGACAAACCAGAGGAGCTACACGTGCATTAGCAGCTCATACATCCTAAGATCCTTCAGGTAACTCATGGCCAATCCAACTTCAATCCCCACTCCCTATCCTATCACCTGATCCTCTATCCCAGATTAGGATTTGTGGAGTGTGTTTTCAGAAACCCCAGAATGAGGCACAGTCTCTTCTGCCATCTGAAATTCACCACCTAGAATGGAACATGCTGCAGAAAGAACAGGAAATTGTGTGGGGTTTACCCTCTGTGGTCAAGAAATCTCAGCAAGATTTTTGTCCTCCAGCTCCCAACCTTACCTTGGTCAGCCAGTCCTCCACTGTTTATGTTCCAATCTCTATCCTTCTTGGAGACTTTTCTCTCAGCAGTGAGCTTTAAAAGAAACTAGAGCACCACCTTCAAAAGAAGCTCATCCAACACTGGTGGGATCTTCCCCATAGGATCCATGAGCCTTCATCACTGCTGAATCCTCGGAGAGAAATTCCCGAGACATCTAAGTCAAAGTGCCATTATGGACTTCCATGGATCTCTTTAAAGGCAAGGGTAGTAAAGATCTAGAGAATTTTGAATTGAGTCAATCTGGAAGCTTCCAAGAGAGATGCTCAGAAATGCCTCTGCTAAAGAAGGATGTGAGAAAGGATCAGGGACACAGCCTGGACAATGACCAAAAAGATCATTTTTTGAGTGACACAAAAGAGGTCTCCAGCTAAGGGTCTGGGGTCCTATTCTGTGAAAGATCTAGAAAGTCACATGGTGAGTCTGTCAGGGAATAATTAGAGGGCCTCAAGTGTGAGCCTAGGTCTGAAACAACTTGAAAATCCCCTGACAGTAAAACTAAGCAAGAAATTTGAGGAAATCAATGAGGGTCAGATTTATGGGACTTTACATAATTAATGGCATTCTATCAAGCACATAGTACCTCTTCCTGAGAAATCTCGCAACCAAATAAAACACATAAATTTGGCACCGTTGGGTGGGGACCACTGCCTGAGTACCTTCCAGGAGGTCTGCTTCTGTGGCTCCAGCAAGAAAGAGACATTGGAAGCCCATACTAAAAGTTTTCATATGAGGACAATGTGGGGTCTTCCCCCAAAGGCCTTTGAATCCATGCAAATCTTTAACTTAAAAACGGACTCATTCGAGTCTTTTTCCCTTTCTAACTTTGCCTCTTCAACCATCCTTATTTCTGTGGTGGATTCCAAAAATGGAGTCTCCAGGCCCCTTAGAAGAAGCTCTAAAGCTTTTAATGAAGACAAGGTGGGAACAAGTTCAGTTCCCAGCCTGGATCATCTCCTCCCTGCCACCTCACCTGTGGGCAAAGGAAGACAGGGAGCCCCAAGACAATCACCCTCTGATATCATCCATGAGCTTACAGAGAATATCCAGACAATTAGAGATGGCAGACAGAATTTTCTGTCCCCCCTCATAGCAGCAGAAACAGAGTCAGAAGCAGACCATACTAGCTAATAGATACAGGCCAAAGCTGCCAACAAGGCAAGCTTGGGCTGCACATGAGCCAACAAATGAGAAAATGAATTCCAGCAATGGAGTAGAAAGGCTTCAGGGCAAAAGGATGAAGAATTCAGAACATTTTTCCACACTCAACAGGTTCAGAGAGATATTCAAGGAAGAGGAGCTCCATGTTCTTCAATAACAATCTAGTAACGACTTGACAACCAGTGAGTTGGAAAGCTCCCCAGTGATGAATGTGTTCCATTTCATTTAGTTCTGCTTTGACTTTTGTTATTTGTTTTCTTCTGCTGGCTTTGAGTTTGGTTTGCTCTTCCTTTTCTAGTTCCTTAAGATGTGATATTAGGTTATTAATTTGGGATCTTTCTGATTTTTTGATATGGGCATTTAGGCTATGAATTGTCCCATTAGTAATGCTTTTGCTGAATCCCACACATTTTGATAGCTTGTGTCCCCTTTGTGGTTCAGTTTAAGGAATCTTTTGATTTCCATCTTACTGTTATTGACCCAATAATCATTCAGCAGTATGTTGTTTAATTTCTATGACTTTGTGTAGAATCGAGTGTTTCTCTTGGAATTGATTTCTAGTTTTATTCCACTATGGTCTGAGAAGATACATGGTGTGATTTTGATTTTTTAAAATTTTTTGAGAAATGTTTTGTGGCCTAAGATATGATCAATCTTAGAGAATGTCCCATGTACTAATAAGAAGAATGTACATTCAGTAGTTTTTGGGTAGAATGTTCTGTAAATGTCTGTTAGGTCTATTTGTTTTAGGGTACCATTTAAGTCCAGTGTTTCTTTATTTTTTTCTGCTTTGATGATTTTTCCAGCTCTGACAGTGGGGTATATTAAAGAACCTGGCAATTACAGTGCTACCATTTATTTCCTTGCTTAACTCCAGTAGAATTTGTTTAGGTGCATATATATTTTAAATTGTTTTATCTTCTTGTTGAATCTCTCCCTTTATCATTATATAATGACCAGCTTTGTCTTTCTTTACCTTTGTTGATTTAAAGTCAATTTTGTTTGATATGAGAATGGCTACACCTGCTCTCTTTTGGCTTCCATTTGCATGGAATATTTTTTCCATCCTTTCACATTGAGCCTGTGCACATCCTTGTGGTTTAGATGTGTTTCTTGGAGACAGCAGACACGTGGGTGTTTTTTCATCCATTCAGTCAGCCTATGTCTTTTGAGTGGCACATTTAAACTGTTCTTGTTGAGAGATAGAATTGATATGGGGGATGGTGTTCTGTTCATCCTGTTGGGTAGTACCTTATTGCTTTTTTTTCTCTCCTGTGCTATTGTTTTATAAGAGTTGTGAGCTTTAGCTTTTGTGGGCAATTTTACACTGGTGGGTATCTATTGTGCTGATTCATGTGTAATGCAGTTCTAAGTATTTCCTGCAGGGTAGGTCTGGTCATGGCAAAGTCCCTCAGTGTTTGCTTGTCTAGTAAAGACTTTATTTCTCCATCAGCTGTGAAACTTAGTTTTTCAGGATACAAAATTCAAGGCTGGCAATTGTTCCATTTAAGAAGATTGAAGATGGGGTCCCAATCCCTTCTGGCTTGTGAGGTTTCTGCTGAGAAGTCTGCAGTACGCCTGATGGGTTTTCCTCTGTAGGTCAGTTGTTGCTTACATCTTGCTGCTTGTAGAATTTTCTCCTTCATTTTGACTTTGGCCAGGTTGATTACTATTTAATATGTGTCTTGGAGATGTTCTGTTTGCTGTGAATCTTCCCAGTGTTCGATCACCATCTTGGATCTGGATGTCTGGATCTCTGGCAATACCAGGGAAGTTTTCCCCAATAATTCCCTCAAATAGATTTTCCATGCTTTTAGCTCCTTCTTCTTCTCCCTCAGGAATACCTATAATTCATATATTAGTTCACTTCACATAGTCCCATATCTCTCAAAACGATTGTTCAGCCTTTTTAATTCTCTTCTCTGTCTCTTTAAATGACTAGGTTAGCTCAAGAGCCTTGTCTTTAAGCTCTGAGTTTCTTCTCCTTGGTTTAGTCTGTTGCAGAAGCTTTCTACTGTGTTTTGAAATTCCCTACATGACTCATTTTTATAATATCCTTTCTTATGTTGTCCAGCACTTTAGTGACTTTTTCATTAATTTCCTGAAATATTTTTTTGGCTTCTTTTTGTTGGTTTTCATCTTCTTCTTCAATTTCATTCATTTTATTTGCCATCCATGTTCTGAATTCCATTTCTGTCATTTTGGCAACTTCATTCTGGTTGGAGTTCACTGCTGGTAGCTCCATTGCGAGCACTTGCAGATGTCGAAGTGTTTTGTTTTTTAATGTTAGCAGGGTTCTTTTGCTGGTTCCTTCTCATTTGAAACCTCTTCTTGACTCAGGTAATAGGTTTGCAAGGCACTTGTTCTTTGCTGGGAACTCTCCTGCTTAATTAAAAGAAGGGGTGCTTCCTAGATGGTGCTTTTTTTCCTGCTCTGGAATGTTGACACGGCAGGGGAGGGCCATGTGCACTAAAAGTCTGTAATCCAGCTGTTTTAATTTGTCCCATTCACCTGTGATTACCATGTTAAAGACTCTGCTGGATGATATTTTTGCTGAGTGTTGGGTTGTTCCCCAGATAGTGGCAGGAAGTTAAAGCTGGGTGAGACCCTCTCCATGGAGGCTGGCATTGGGGGGGATTGCTCTGCCTGGGGTCTGCCTGCAGAAGTGATAGTGGCAGCTGAGTTAGACTATCTAGGCAGTGATCATGGGTTCCCGGGCTGTGGGCATTTGCTGAAACCAGGTCCAGTGTAATGGCGGCTTGAGGCTAGAGAGTCCCTGGTGGGGTGTTGGAATCTGAAGCAGTTCTGCTGACCCTGGAGCAGTGGTGGAGACTGAAGTGTGGGATCTTGGGGTTCACGTGCATCAGTAGAATCTCAGGGGCAGTGGCCAGGACCTGGTGGGAGCTCTGGAGCCACAGGGGTGGAGCCTCAGAGCTGGGACTAGAGAAGAGCCAGAAGCAGAGCCATGCAGGTGTTGGGCTGACCTAACCTGGAGGGCAGAGGCAGGGCTGAGCAGGTGGTGGGCTGTTCCATAGGCTCAGGGACCAAGGATGCCAAGTCATATGATTGGGAGTCAGTTCCAGTGGCCCAGGGACCATGGAGTTCTCCCCACCCCTCCCCGCCAGTACCCACTGAAGCAGTCACCCAAAGCTTCCTAGGTCGGAGCCTGTAGCACCCCATTCAACTCCTCTGTTCAGATCCCACTGCACTGGAGGGGAGTGGTGCTTGGCTTCTGGTCACAGGGTACAGCTCAGAGGAGCCTGCACTTAGTCTGCTCCCTCCCCAGCCTGGTGGGGGTGATGTGAAGGCCACTGCTGCAAAGCTGAGTCCTGTGTCTATCACCTGGGGCTCTGCACCTGAGAGCACAGGATAGCATCAGCTGCACAAACCTAGGATCGGCTGCTGCCAGATTCTTACTGTGCCTGTTGTCCAGTGCAGTGACTCTGCACAGACTCTAGGCAGGTCTCGGGTCCGTCCTGACAGAGGCCTGTGGCGGTGGTGGGAGCCTTCTCACAAGTCAGCCACAGCGCCTGTGGGGTGAGCACAGCGCCCCAGCGCTCTATCCTCCTATTCTTCCCTGCGTGTGGATGCCTCCCCACAGATCACTTTTATCTCGTTGATTGTATTGCCCTGTCTCCTTCTTTTTCACGCCGAGTGCTCCATGTTGCTTCTCTGCGGTTTCACAGTGTTCCTTCTGAGAAGAGCTATCCATAGGTAGGCATCTGCCCACAACTTACACTCCTTTCCTTGGGAGCGGTGTGCTCACAGGCTGCTTCCAGTCTGCCACTTCCCCAGCTCCCCAGTGACAAACGTGCACATGAGTAAAGTAGAAACTACCGTGACCACCGAAAGTTCCTCACCAAGAATATCAGTTCCCTGAGATCCCAAATCATCAGGCCTTAAAAATCAGATGTCGGGTGAATTAAAATTTAAATTGGAGAACAGGGAGCATAGCCAAGCTCAAAGCCATACCGCTGACATATCCCTTGCCTCGGATAACTTAACTTCCAAGGCCTTCCTGACTCAGGCCCAGGGCAGGAGCCTGGCAGCTCCCCAGGTGCTGCATGTCCACTTGGAAGACAGAGGGATCAGCATGGAGCAGAGGCAGGACCCCTGGTCCCTAAGCATGTCTTATGGAAGTGCCAGGATGAGAATTTCCCACCAGTTGCAGAGAGTGAGCCCTCTGGGACCCAAAGGAGAGATTGGTGAAGGGGATGCAGGGTTGGGACATCCCAAATTTCTCTGGCAAAAGGCAGCTCCGTGTCATCGTCTGCGCAGAGCAGAGGGCTAGGTAAAAGTAGAGCTGCCATTACTGGGACTACTGAAGCTCAGAAAATTATGACACACATGGGGAATTCCCAGAGGAGAAATTGGGGCATAGGCATGGAATAGATACCACTGGCTCCAAAGAACCTTTAGGTCCCCAACTTATCACAAAACAGAACTGTAGGTCCAGGCAGAGCCCACCCAGGACCATCCCTTCAACAACGTGGCTCCCTTCTGTAAAGTGACACATACCAAGTCTGGTAGCCAAAACGTTTCCTTTGCTGGCCAGAGTTTTCTTACAAGGATAAGATCATAGACAAGGACGGGCAGCCCCAAAAAGATGTGGCATTTAAGTACCAGCTACTATGGCAGGAGCATTCCCCATCCATGCTCCACAGGGAGCCTGTGCCCCATCCAAGCCCCACCTGCAGGCGTCAAGTTGGCCAAGTGCCTCCAGCCGCCTCTACCACTGCTGAAAACACTGTGTGCAGAGATTTGCTTCTACTCTCTAGACAGAAAACACTTCCCGAGCATTTCCAGGGAGGAAAATTCACTCCCCCAAAACAATAATTCATTCCTTATTGAGAATACTGATTGTCTTCATTGAAGATATTGATTCTCCTCAATATATGTTCTAATAAGAACGGTGTCTTTTCCATGTACTGTGTTGGGGGCATGGATTTTGGGTAACCCAGAGATTGTGCTTAGGGAAAGGTAGGATTTAGTTCAGCTCTTCCTATTGCCTATTTTGGCTTCTAAAAAATGACCAGTCCCCTGGAGCTCTTGTTGAGGAATGGACATCATGTGCCCCCAAGAGTGCCCTCCCTCTCTGGTGAAGTGTGAGAAGATGGGCTCTGTTTCCTGGCTCTTAGCTGTGCCTTACTGACATTGTATGGCAGCCCCACCTTCCCCTCATTGGCTGTTGCATATCCTTTCGAGCAGTAAGAAAGATAGGTCTTCCATATCTGAAGAGAGGGTCAAAGACAGCTATATTTTTCAGAAAATAGTGGCTTAATCAGTTTTTACACAAAGTTGTCAGTGACCAAAGGCTCACACAGGTGGGTGGGAGTGTTTGGGGGTTATTGCTACAGTGGATACAGGACTGGTTGGAGTAGGGTCTTAGGAAAAGAGTAAATGCTGCCTAAGAATCCATCATGGAGGCATGCTTATGTGTTAGGGAAGCATACTTTGACCTTGCTGTTGTGGTTTCCTTCCTGGAAAGTCACCTTGGGGAAGTGGTACCCCGCCCAGGATAATTCTTCAGGCTGCCTGGATTGATGACATTTGCACAGCAAAAGGAACACCCAGATGTTAGTGGCAGAAATATTGCCCAGGCAGCCACTTACCCCGCAAGGTAAAATAAAGCTGAGTAAGGAAAAGATACCTTAGAGTGAGTGGGAAAGTAAGAAAAAAATGAAGATGGGAAAGAATGTCCTTGCTGGTGGACCAAAAGTATTTATGTCTCATTATCTCCGTGTCATGACCCTGTCCTGCTTTCCTCTTTCCCAGTGTGATCCAGGCACCACTTCCTTGAGGCTGATCGGGGCACTGCAGGGGTTACTGATGCCTTCATAAAAATTTGTGAATGTGGGATATCAAAACAAAAACAAAAACGAATGTCCACTACAGCCTCCTTACTCCACTCTACTTACTATTTTCTTGTCCAGAGTTATGCCATTGACCCTGTAATGTCAAAGCTTGGGGTTGCTGAAAGAATGCAGAGTCTGGGGAGGCCCCGGAAAGGACAAAAGTTGGGACGGGTCTCAGGGTGAGGAACTTGTAGAGGTGGAGAATCAGTGGAGGACCCCAACACCCATGTGGATAGACCAGCCAATAATCTGGCCTCTCAATTCCTCTGTCTTCACATCTTAGGGTCCTTTCATTCCAGTCCAGTTACTGCCACACCTGGAACTTATTATCAGGAACACTTCTGACATCTGTAATAATGCAGCTTGACCCTCCACCCTTTGACCTCATCCCCCTATTCTTCTAGCATATCCCCTCAATTTGTCATTTTTTTCCACTCCAGGTCATTAATTTTTTTACTTACTCATCTATCTACCAAGTTATTGTCTTCATTTCCTCCCTCATCAAGACAGACTTCAGGATCTATCTGGTAACCAATATTTAAAAAGCTCCACTTCAAATAGTCCTCAACCAATTCCCTTTAGTACTTCCTATGTGGCAAAAATCTTAATTCTCTGCCTTTTACAGAAATGGCTTCTTCTTATAAGTAACTGATCACTATTGGATTTAATCTCACAAATCTACTGACATCAGGATAAAATTTATGGTCAACATCATGACTATCTGGAAATCACTCATTCATTCCAAAACTAATTATCTGGTGCTTACTAACTGAACAAAACAAATAGAACTCAGCTCACTTTTTTTTAGTTCATTCTCTCAAATCTATTTCGAACCTTCTGCACTCTGCTCAAACTTAGGCCATCTCCACTTGCTTAGCAGATGTGTTGGATTCACCATTCACAGAAGAACAGAAGCCATTAGGTGGGAACTTTTCATCAAAAAAATTCCAAAAACTGTATCCACCTCTCCTTTCCTTCATTCTTCCTGTATTGTGCAAAGAGATTTCCTTCTAAGGTTTCTATCTTCAAAGGAATTACACTTCCTAAAATGTCTTTGTACTGACAGATAGCTAAAACACAGTCTCTTTTTTTTGGTGGGGGACGGGGGGACAGGGTCTCACTCTGTTGCTTGGGTAGAGTGCAGTGGCATCATCATAGCTCAGTGCAACCTCAAACTCCCGGGCTCAAGAGATCCCCTTGCCTCAGCCCCCTAAGTAGTTGGGACTATAGTCATGAGCCACCATGCCCAGCCATAAAAACCTAGTCTTGATGGACTGATCCACCCTTGCCAGCTATCCTTACTGCCCCATCCCCTCTCCTCATGAGGCACTAAACATCTTTTATTTTTTTAAGGTTTTAGTCAAAAAAAAATGTTTAAACATTCACAAGAGTAGATAAAACAGTATAACTTCCCATGTACCTAGCACCCAACTTTGACAATTACTATGCCTCATGAACCCCATGTTTTACACATGATTAAAGTGTAAAAGTCCATCTAAACATCTTGCCATCTGTCTCTTAGAAGATATCCTATGTGCCCTATGTCAATGCTCTCATATTCCTGTGATACTTATCACATGAGGGTCACACTTCTCCACAACAGATGTACCCAGCACTGGTGACTGAAACACATTGAGCTTTACTGGATTTGCCATCAGCTCTGCTCTGTCTTGTGGTCAACCCTGAGAAATCATTTGATTCCTCTCCTCACTTCATAAAAGCAGTAATCTTTACCAAACAAATTCAGTGCATAATAACGCAATCCCTAATCACACAGTAAGTATAACATGAAAAAAGTATGGAAGTAGAAAACTTTATGTGTTGACAAAAACTTGAGATTGCTCTGTAAATGTTTTCATAAATTTAGAAGAAAATAATTTTTTTCCTGTAACGCATTTAAAATGACTTATTGTTTCCAGTTAAATATAGTAGATCAAATATACTTGTTTATCTCCTCTCCTTCCCAAAGTGCCATTAAAAGTAAAGGATTATATGAAAAAAAATGTTCAACATCATTAATCATCAGGCAAATACAAATCAAAACCACTATG